AAAATGTATTGTTGCTCATTTTGCTATAAAATGTATTGTTCGAAATTCTACTATAAATTTGTATTGCTGGTCATTTTGATTCAAAGTATATTGTTGGTAATTTTATTATAAAAATGTATTTTTATACTTTCATAGTTTGTTTGTTTTGTTTTTTTTTGGATGGGCGGGTCACTATTTTCCCATAGCTGGGGGCTCTAACAGTTACTACAACCCCGGAAAACCTAGGAGGTTCTTCTCGAAGTTGTAGTTCTCGTAAAGAAGCAGTCGGAGATGAACTTGCTTCATACAAATGGAATAGAAAGGGAAATAAAATGGTTAAACTCTGTGGACGTGGCATACGATTATCAAGGTTGGAACTGGTGGAAATTAAAAAAAAAAAAAACGTAGCTCGCCGTGAAAATGTTTAATAGTAAACATAGATCTAGAATAATGTTTGGGGAATATTTTCGTACCAATTACATCTATCAAAACCAAAAAAAATAAAAACATTCATTATTTAATGTCCAATATATATGAATAATGTTCGCTTTCTAAATTCGAAAAAAAGAAAAACGCTGCTCCCAACACAAGTTGAGAACAAACAGGAAGTGAGGTTATCTATACTCAAACAACAAGTGAAGATCTTTGAAGTAGCAGAATCTACTGCAGGATGTGCATAAACTTCTATTCGTACGTTGGGATTTAACATATTTCTTGGCCTGCAAGTTTGTGTTTTTGGCACTTTAATCGAATACTTTTACGAATATTTTTCACACACTGAAGATTGAATTCACAGATGATCCGCAATATCATATTGCGTCGTGTGAAATATCAGCTTCTGATAGGAGAAAAGTAAAACTCTGTTTTAAACAAACAGAACGACCATGAGATATGAATATGAGATTAATATAAATTATCCCTGTTTCAACGCAATGAAGTGTCGAACTGGTCTGTAATTAAATGGGAAACCCGACTGCTGTAGGCAATCTCCTAAAATTTGAAATATGTTTCGGCTTTAAGCTGTAAAAGAAATTAATGTTATATATAAGAAATGTATGATTGTCAGCAGGAGGAACATCTATCATATGAAATGAGAGCTGGAATATCAAAACCACACAAGTACATAAATATAAATATCTAGGAAGTGTTTTAACAAACGTTGGGACATCGAAACCAGAAGCGAAAGAAGCCTTCTAAAAGCTAAGCAAAGTATTAAGAAACAAGAAAATTTTATTAAAAACAGATATAAGAGATCTGTCTATATATATATATATATATATATATATATATATATATATATATATATATATATGAGATGAGGTATTATGATTACTTACATTATTTACATTAATCTCAACACCATTGCCATATTCACAACGTTTCAGCCGTTGTACGCTCCCGGTCTTATTGAGGATCCGTCTATATCTCTGAGATGAGGTGTTACGATTACTTACGTTATTTACATCATTCGGACTGTTATCCTCATCTTCATTACCATATTCCCAACGTTCCGGTTGTTGTACGCTCCGGCCTTCTTCAGATGATTGGAATTTCGAACCGAACCCTTTATTTCGTCCACCGGGTTAGATTTTTCTAGATCCACGTGTCATCTTCCGGATGTCTCATTTTATTTCCCTTTGAACTCGTTTCTCCAATACCAGACTGCAGCAGTTGTAAACCAAAACTTGAAGTGGCACATGCATCTAGAACAATCTACCCCAGGTGGAGATGAAACGTCATCGACCCAATTCTGACACACTGAACAAAAGACCAAACATCGGTAACTCTTTTGGAATCCTGTGTTTGTCGTACGAAGAATTTCTCAGTGAAATGAAGCAATAAAGTCGCTTTTGAATGCAATAAATATGAACTAACGACAGTCATTTAATGTGCGTAAATCGAAGATTAAAAAAGTGAATGAGATCAACAGCAATCATTATGCATCTATTGATCAATCGATCTAATGGCACTACACACACACACACACACACACACACACACATATATATATATATATATATATATATATATATATATATATATATATATATATATATATGTAGAGTGGATAAAAGAAAACGCCCGACGAACTGGAAACACCACCCAACGAAACTATAGTCTCACGCCAAAAACCTGGGCACACGTATATGCACCTAATTAACACACACACACACACACACACACACACACACACACACACACATATATATATATATATATATATATATATATATATATACAGTGTAACCCGGATATAAGAGACCCGGATATAAGAGAAACCCGGATATAAGAGAGATTTTCTCTGGTTCCAAATTAGAGCCTGTGTTAATGTATATAAAATTGACCAAACCCGGATATAAGAGAAACCCAGATATAAGAGAAACCCGGATATAAGAGTCTTCTTCTCCGGTCCCGACAACTCTCTTATATCCGGGTTACACTATATATATATATATATGTATATGAAGGCTGATTGAAAACTATCTCCGTATTTTATGTATGCGTGGTCAGACAGGAGACCGGACTTAACACCCTGTGAATTTTTTTCTTCAGGATTGTTTAACAGAGTAAGTCTGCTATGACGAACCAAGTCTTTGAAAGAATTTGAAGGGCGAATACAAAAAGATATGCCACAAGAGTTCCTGGTGAAACCATTTGAAACTGTTCTCGAAATCTTTTGCCCTTATCGTATTTTAAATAAAACCTCATTCCTAAACATTTTCGTCTCATATCCATTTCTTGTAAAAAAAATTATAGTTGATTAATAAATTAAGTATTTTAAAATGGGGAGTTACCATGTATATATTATATATATATATATATATATATATATATATATATATATATATATTTTTTTACTCGTAATTATACTATACATTAAAACTATATTTTAGATAGAGGAAACGAAATGCGATCAAACCGATAAATAGATAGATAGATTTCTCTGCTCATATCTATCGATCTGTCTTCAATACATACATACATATATATATATATATATATATATATATATATATATATATATATATATATTATTTATTTAAAAATATGATTCCAAATCGCTACATAAGAGGTCTCATGTTTCAAAACAAGAGCCGAAAACTTCAATATAATCCTTTAAATTAAATTGAGTTGAAATTAAAATGGGCTCCGTTCCATCTTCAAGCGAAATAATAACGAATTGGAATAACGAATATCTGAAATTTACTTGTTTTAAAAATTGAAATCAAAATCCCCATGGTAACAGCTAGGCGAATTGTCTAAATTGGGTAGGCGAATGTAGGGGTGTTAATAATAAGTAGCGGTATAGAGATACTTTCAAGGTGTCAAGTCGGGGAAAGTTGGGGTGTTAAAAATGAAACGGAAGATGTATTAATCTTCGTTTAGTTTGCTAGTCTATGGATAATTATTTATTTATTTTATTTTATTTATGAAAGGGGATTGTGCATATAAAAAAAGAAAAACTTTCGTAACGTTTGTTTTTTGACAATTTCATAAAGGGTTATCTTTTATGTAAGGTATTTTTTTCACATATATATATATATATATATATATATATAAGCAAGTGTAAATGGATATAAACTGACAGAATGAAGAAATTTTGAAAAACAAACAAAAATCCTTAAATGTAGTTAAATGAAAGAAATGTCGACGTCTGACGTTTCGGTTTATTAAACCTTTTTCAAGACAATATTCATCAAAATACAATTCAGTTCAATATGACAAATACGATGGACATAAAAACACAAGTCTTATTCCGAACAGATAACTGAAAATTTTTAAAATGATCAGCCTTCCGTCTAACATGGTCACGCTGTCGTCACATGGGCGACGCTTTCATAACGTATTCCTGAAAGAATTCTTTTCATTTTCTTTTTCTTTTTCATTTTCTTTTTCTTTTTCATTTTCTTTTTCTTTTTCATTTCAAAATAATCACAAACTTTCAGGAATACGTTATGAAAGCGTCGCCCATGTGACGACAGCGTGACCATGTTAGACGGAAGGCTGATCATTTTAAAAATTTTCAGTTATCTGTTCGGAATAAGACTTGTGTTTTTATGTCCATCGTATTTGTCATATTGAACTGAATTGTATTTTGATGAATATTGTCTTGAAAAAGGTTTAATAAACCGAAACGTCAGACGTCGACATTTCTTTCATTTAACTACATTTAAGGATTTTTGTTTGTTTTTTTCAAAATTTCTTCATATATATATATATATATATATATATATATATATATATATATAGAATGAGATTTAAAAGGGAGAATGAGATTTAAAAATTTAAAAATGTGTGTTTTCTTTTTTAACGGATCAGGAAAAGTGAAAAATATCGGTTAAAGGTTTGACGTGGGTAAGTAATTTCTGCTTGCTGATACGGGCTTCCGTTTATGAGACGTGTCATCCTGTCTACATTTTTTGCAACATACATAAGGTACATTAAAATACAGGGGCCTATATATATCGAACCACAGGTTAATTTTGGAAATTTTATTTATTTTTTCAAATGCAAACCATGCATTTCCTTTTCTTAAAGGGACTTCAAATATGATTAAATCATATTTTATATAATCTATATTTTTAATTATAAAGATCTAAAATATTATATTTATAATATTTAATGGTACATTAGGTATGGCTTGTTAAAATTTAAATTTAAAACTTAGGAATTATGTACACGATTTTTATTTGTAATCAAATAATAGATATGTAATTATTAGTTTTATTAATTGTTTTAAAATGAACATAATGCAATGACTACAAAAGACAGTTATTTCTTTTCGTTGATTTAGTAAATGTCTATTTTTAAGAAACTTAATAATACATAATTTTCATGCAGGCACAAAGGACATGGGTCACTTAAAGACCTACAAGTTCTCGTTCTTTAATTTCAATTTTACTGTAGTAGGCGTTTTATTTGTGCTTTTTATTTCTTTTTTTATTTTGATATATATATATATATATATATATATATATATATATATATATATATATATATATATCGATTACACGTTTTAGACTACTTTCTGACTATCTATCTATCTATCTATCTATCGATCTATCTATCTATCTATCTATCTATCTGGTTTCTTCATTATCTATCTATCTGGTCTCTTCATTATCTATCTATCTATCTATCTATCTATCTATCTATCTATCTATCCATCTTCATCCAGTCTCTTCATTATCTATCCATCTATCTATCTATCTCTATCTATCTATCTATCTATCTATCTATCTGGTTTCTTCATTATCCATCCATTCAGTCTCTTTATTATCTATCTATCCATCTATCTATCTATCTATCTATCTATCTATCTATCCAGTCGCTTCATTATCCTATTATCATTCATCTATCTATCTATCTATCTATCTATCTATCTATCTATCTATCCAGTCGCTTCATTATCTATCTATCTATCTATCTATCTATCTATCTATCTATCTATCTATCTCGGTCTATTGATTATACATCATTATATACCAATCAATCGTTACTCTCTCGTATGGTTACATCTTCAGCTTCAGCAAGTTTTTCCCCGCAGAAATGTCACTAGTAATTCATGTTAATTGTCACCGAAGTCTTCTTTTCTGTTGCCCAACTGTCAACATTGACTTGTAGAGAAAACTGCGAGGCTTCTTCTTCGATCCATGAAAAAGTTTCCGATGTCGTCTTTAGGAAATTGGGTTTAACTTAGAGAATCATCTTCCTCGCCGTTCAACACTCGCTGATATTAATATTTGCCATGACGTAAGAGACGAAAAGAGATCCGACCATCAAAAAGATGCAGACGAAATCAAAGAACAGACAGACTAAATTAAAAAAAAAAAAAGTATTTCAATGTTGAAATACCAGGAAAATATTCAATTAAACAAAAAACAAAAAAAGAAAAGAAAAAAAAGCTTAGGCCACATGCAAAGTCTATAAGAGGAAGTCGATAAAAGGAAGTCGATAAGAGGTTGTCGGTATAGATGTAGTAATGGAAGTCAGAATGTCCTGAAATCTCTTCGAAAAATTAAAAATTAATTTTGTTTTCTTTGCCTGGTTTACACTTTCTAAATACACTCAACATCTTCAAGACGTACCATTTACATTGTTCGAACTGTTATCAGATTCACGACGTTTCGGCCTTTCTATGCACAGGCCTTCTTCCGGTGATTGGAATTTCAAGCCGAACTCTGTATTTCGTCCACTGGGGTGGATTGTTCTAGTTCCATGTGCCATGCCTCTTCCGGATATCGCAGTTTCAGTTATTTCCCTTTAGTAACTCAACTCTCCAAGTTATTATTCATCACTTATGGGGTCAGGTATTGAACTCACAACTCATGGGATCAAGTCACTTACTTCATTCAAAGCTTTTATCCAATGTGCCATATATCCTTGAGGACGAAACGTCGTCAATGTAACTGTTAAGATGAGGATAACAATCCGAACAATGTAAATAGTGTAAATAATTACAACTCCTCATCTCAGAAATATAGACAGATCCTGAAGAAGGCGTGATCGTACAACGACGGAAACGTCGTGAATATGACAATAAAGGTGAAGACAACAGAAATATAGACAGATTTTAAACTCAGGTGTTGCAAAATTGTAGCAGTTGATGGATTCCCTCAAGAAATATGGTAAAAGGTGGATCCTGCACGTTATACAAAGTTTTTCAGACATCTGTGTTCGGTGCCTATTAAGCTCCAGAAAAAATTCTGACTCTTCCTAAAATGCTTTGTCTTTATAAGACCTAGATCCGACCAAAGATAGACTATTACTGAAACCGCTAGGCTGGAGCTGCCCAATCAAAAGTGTTTGCGAGGCCTTGTGGGTGATGATTTATTTTCCATCCTACATACCCTTGCGGACTTTCTGTCCTCTAGTAGGAAGCTGCCTCACACGTTTCACGTACGATTTCATTTTCAAATCTTTTTTCACGGCTCTTTCGACTTTCATCTTTGGACTCCTCTTTCAAATGCCAAACGTCTTATAAGTTGAATCTTTTCTAATTGATCTCTTTATCTTTAAGTTGAAAAGATGATCCCTCTTCCTGTTGTGACCTCCTGATCTATTTTTCCTTTCTACTGTTCCCTCTTTTTAGACCTATTCACCGTTCTCTTGATGGTTCTTGAATGGACTTTGAAGGTGGAAGCCAGAGTATGAATGTTGGTACCATTACTGAAGGCCTCAATGATCATTTCCCTCTCACCATTGCTCATTTGTGAAAACATAGCGTACAACGACAGAAACGTAGTGAATGTGACGATAAAGATGTGGACAACAGTCCAAACAATGTAAATAGTGTAAATACTTACAACACCTCATCTCAAAAATATAGACAGATTTTAAACTCAGGTGTTGCAAAAGCGTAGCAGTTGATAGAGTCCCTCAAGAAATATGGTAAAAGGTGAGTCCTGCCCGTTATACAAAGTTTTTCAAACATCTGCGTTTGGTGCCTTTTACTGCTCCAGAAAGAGTCTGACTTTTCCTAAAATACCGTGTCTTTATAAGACCTAGATCCAACCAAAGTTAGTGTGTCACTGAAACAACTAAGCTGGAGCGGCCCAATCCTGAATTTCTATGGATCGAACTTGCTCAAGTCATTTTTTGGATCAATCAACCAACGCTTTTATCCACTAAGCCCCATGTTGGTGCGTGGGATTAGAACAATCTACCGCTGTTGACTAAATAAAATGTTGGTTTCGACATTAGAACAATGTGTATAGCGTAAATAATTACAATGCCTCATCTCAGAAAGAAGGCCCGAGCATACAACTGCCGAAACGTTGTAAATGTGAGAATAAAGATGAGAATAACTGTCCGAACAATGTAAATAGTGTAAATAATTACAATGCCTCATCTCAGAAATATAGACAGATCCTGAAGAAGGCCCGAGTATACAACTGCCGAAACGTTGTGAATGGGACAATAAAGATGAGTATAACAGCCCGAACAATGTAAATAGTGTAAATAATTACAATGCCTCATCTCAGAAATATAGACAGATCCTGAAGAAGACCCAAGCGTACAAATGCCGAAACGTCGTGAATGTGGCAATAAAGATGAGGATAACAGCCCAAACAATGTAAATAGTGTAAATAGGTTAATCTATTGTAATTTGATCTCTCAAAAAAAGGAAGTCACCTGATACACGAGATACATGATAAAATCATTTTTTTTAAGTGAAAATTTGGGGGTCGCACAATACGCGAGTTCGCGCGTTACACGATTAGATACGGTATATGAAGATTATTGTCCTCATCTTTATTCTTATTATTCGATTTTCATCAGATGTATATCGATCCCGGTAACCGACAGTGAATTCCGAACTGATCCCTTTATTTAATCTTTGTTTCTCTGTCCATGTCAAGGGATATCTTGTCTAGTTCTTATTGCTTGAGTTTACAACAGTTGATAACTGTCAAGAGGTCAGTTATCCACATGTAAATAATATAAGTAATGATAACTCCTTATCGCAGAAATTCTGATAGAAAATTATTCATCTTCTTTATCTATAAATATCCACTAACTTTTGTGAATAAACTTGAACGTTCTGCTTTTTATTTTTATTTTTGAAAAACAGAAAACATTCTATAACAGTTTTTTAGTTTCTACCTGTATCCGGTGGGGTTAATAGTTTTAATAGAAAACAATGGTTAGGAAAGGACGAAAATCATCATCAGGACTAAAATCAGTTTATTGTTTATAGGTAAAACAAACAAGCTGAACAATTTTTTTTAAAATCTAACTAATGTTTTTAAACTTAATTTAGAAGAAGAATTAGATTTTCATTGACCGTCGTATTATTCTGATGGTCTGCCATCAGTCCTCCAAAATTTGTGTTAGAAAAATTTTGGTATTGAAAACTTTCTTGTTAAAAAATGTTTCCGTGTTTGCTATAAAAAATTCCTTAAATAATTTAAATCAACGGGATGTTATGAATTATTGTTCATAATGGTAATTGGCGCGTTCCATTCACAAAACATGCGGCCTTCATTGACCGAAGATTTACTCTTCCCGTCGCTTAAAATTTGTAAAGTTTTTGTCTTAATACGATCTTTAAGGAAAATAAGTTTCACCAACCCACTGTTATTGTTTATTTCTCGTATTAACGAGAGTTTTCTTTCTAACCTTTAATTTAAGATAATGTGGAAAGTTAACATCTTTATTATTTCATTATTTTTTTTTCTGGTGACATGTGTTATCAATTTTAGATAAGGTTGTTGTTGTTGCTGCTGCTGCAGGTCTTCAAGTGATGTGGTTTTCTTATTTGGTAAAGTTTTTTGTGATACTGTAGCACTATTTCGTAAGATCTGATCATGGGCTATACATTTTAGTTGTAGCTGCTGTTGGAAGGCTTCAAGTAATGTTATTTTTTTAAATTTGGTAAAGCTCTTTGTTTATAATACTTTAGCGCCATTTCATGAGATCTGATGAAATGCTATCTATTTTAGTTGCTGCTACTTTTGGAAGGTTTCAAGTGATGTAGGTTTTGTTATTCGGTAAAACTCTTTGTGATACTGTAGCGCCATTTCGTGAGATCTGATGAAGGGCTATCCATTTTATTTGTTGCTGCTGTTAGAAGGTTGTTGTTTTTCTTATTTAGTAAAGCACATTATGATACTGGAGCGCCATTTCCCAAGATCAGATCAAGGGTTATCCATTTTAGTTGTTGCTTCTGTTGGAAGACTTCAAGTAATGTTGGTTTTGTTATTTTGTAAAACTCATTATGATACTGTATCGCCATTTTATGAGATCTGATGGAGGGTCATCCATTTTAGTTTTTGCTGCTGTTGAAAGGTTCCAACTGTCGTGGTTTTCTTATTTGGTAACGTTCTTTATTTTGTGATACTGTAGCACCATTTCCTAAGATGTGATGAAGTATTTTTTTTCTTTAAGATCTAGAGCGTCTATGTGCTTTAAGCCATTTTAATGCATGATTTGGATTAAAAAAAACAACAGCTGTATTTAGCTAAGTGTATAGATATTTCTGAAGGAGGGGATACAATGTATGACACCCTCTTTTCTGTTCAAGTTCCATAACTTTTATGTTACAAGTGTTATAATTGATCCATACACTGAGATAGTTGAAGTATTTAGAGAGCTTCTCATTCGGAGGTAACTCTCCTGATAAAAATTATATTTATAATATGAAAGATTGTCCATCTTCTTCTTCTTCGTCTTCTTCTTCTTCTTCTTCTTCTTCTTCTTCTTCTTCTCCTTCTTCTTCTTCTTCTTCTTCTTCTATGTACTGTATCCATTCACTATGTTGTTGATCATGACTCTCCACAATTTCTTATCCCGGTTAGCTCTTAATAATTTTCGCTTTTTGCCATCTCTCCCATAATCTGCTCCGCCATTCATTCACTTAAGATTGACATATTGCTTCCGCGTTACATTCAACTTGTCTCTCTTTTTTCAATTTGCCTTCTGAGTATCACATTTTCCGAACCTTCCTTCCTCTTTATATATCCCAGAAAAGTCGACTGTCTCTTTCTGTTACGTGTCATTTTCGCTGCCATTGTCTCTTGGATATGGTCGTTGGTCACATGTCAGTCCATGGTATTC